CGTGGGAATTTGGGGACGTGGAAATTTGGGGATGTGGGAATTTGGGGTTATGGGAATTTGGGGGCGTGGAAATTTGGGGGCGTGGAAATTTGGGGATGTGGGAATTTGGGGACATGGAAATTTGGGGTTATGGGAATTTGGGGGCGTGGAAATTTGGGGACGTGGCAATTTGGGGATGTACCGATTTGAGGACATAGTAATTTGGGGACGTACCGATTTGAGGATGTAGAAATTTGGGGACATACCGATTGATGGAAGTACTGATTTAGGGATGTAAGATTTTGAAAATGTAGTGATTCGGTAGAGCAGAGATTCGGAAATGTACGTGATTAGTATGCGTGACCATTCAAGCCAATTGTACCTTCAAATACTTCCATGTGAATCGTCTATTTTTCTGTCGTAACCAATCGGAGTCCGTAGCTCTTCTAAACGCGTCAGCCCTTCACGCGCCAGCTCATAGGTTGACATCGGTACACTAATGCTTGCTGTATGCTTGCTTCATTCTTGCTGCATGAACTTCTGAGTGAGATTCTTTCCACAGATAGTTTTGATGAATTTACATAATATTCATATAATTTCTCGATAATCACAACACGGTATTCGCAGTTAACTTTAGTATGCACGTTGCACTGTATTCAGATAAGCTCTGTTACGTGACATAGTTGCATCGTAAACATTCACTTAATTTGACTTTCGATTTAAATAATCTTGAAACTCTATTTTTAACGTATCACAGTGTAAAATCACAATGAAGTAAATTTAAAATTCTATTATATTTTTACATTTTTAAGATGTTATTTCAGTTGGTGATTAAATAAGAATGTTTTGAATTTCTTTTGCAAATTGTGAACTTGAACTTGTTAATCTCTGCTTTGATGTAAATAGCAAATTTAAAGGAAGATTATTTTGAATAGATGCACTTTTAATTTTGTTTTAATTTACATTTGAAATCGTACTGTTTGTGTAGGAAAATGTAATAAATCAACGCTATTTTATTGAGATATAAATCATTTTTATTATGAAGTTGAACTTAGATGTTAGTTTAAGCTTTTCATACAAGTTCAAAAAAAAAATTTCAGCAATTTTCAATCTTTTTCTTTTAATATGTATTTTTGTAATATTAGCAGAGGATTAATGACTGAAATAGTCAAAACTTGATTTCTCAAAAAAACATCAATTTGATCATTCAAAATTTAATGATTTGTAAAGTTAAAATTTAACATCTTGATAAATCAAAATGTAAGAACTTGATTAGTAAAATTTGAATAACTTGATAAGTCAAAATTTAACGACTTGAAAAATTAAAATTTAACAACTTGATTAGTTAAATTTTAATAACTTGATAAGTCAAAATTTAACAACTTGGTAAGTCAAATCTCAACATCTTCAAGAACTAAAATTCAAAAACCCTAATAAGCCGAAACTCAGCAACATAATACGTAAAAATTCCACAATTTGAAAAGTCAAAACCCAACTTAAAAAACTCTACAACCAGAAGAGTCAAATTTCATCACATTGCTAAGTCAAACCCTAACAATTTAAAAAGCCAAACTCAACATCTTAAAATTGAAAAACTCACCAACATCCCACCTATCTATAACACTATTTCACTATATGATCAATATATACACGAATTGCAACCTCGAGTTATAAAAATGGCGATAAAAGTAGGGCGATGTTGCAATATATGAAAGTGAGAACTATATACTGCGGTATAGGTTCTAATAAACGTCCGAAACGAAACGGTACTTGGAAGTAGCGTTACGTTTCCATTTCGGCATTGACCAAACACGCCAACAATTCTGTTAGATGCCCACTTCTGTTAGATCGAAACGAAAACATTGTTCGAGTGCTTGAGAACAAGAAGCAAAAGTATTTAATCATATACCGTAGTTCCTTCTTTTTGCTTAGTCTTCGTATCCGGCGACCACGAAGGCAGGTGTTCTAACCGTGAACGATTCATCCGAGTTTCATATTCGCGCACGATTTTTACTTTTTCCATAGCTTTCACCTACCAGCCATTTTCTTGCTTTTATTTTTACGTAAAAACGCGGATATTCTTGGTTCACACATTTTTTAACTAATGCGATTCGTAGAAAGTTTATGCAGAAGGTTTTTGATCGAAAGTAGAAATTTTTTGAAAGGCGATTAATTAGTATGAAAGCGATGAGTGGAAATGAATTAGTTTTTATTAGATCGATTTTTGGTTGTGAAAGTATTTTTTAGAAGATCGATTTTTGGTTGTGAAATTATTTTTTAGAAGATTGATTTTTGGTTGTGAAAAGTATTTTTTTGAAGATTGATTTTTGGTTGTGAAAATATTTTTTTGAAGATTGATTTTTGGCTGTGGAAAGTATTTTTTTGAAGATTGATTTTTGGTTGTGAAAATATTTTTTAGAAGATTGATTTTTGGTTGTGAAAAGTATTTTTTCAAAGTTTTGATATATTTTGCTAAATTTTGTAAATTATATTTCAATGAAGTAAAATTAAAACTAAAATTTTAAGAAAAACTTTAAATTTATTTTTATTCAATAATATAATTTATTAAATTTCAAATGTACAAATTTCTAAATTTTTAATCTAAACAGTTCTGAATTATGAAATCCCTGAAATTTTCGAGCGAATTAAAATTGCGATAAAAAATCGTAAAAATACTGATACAGTTATGAAAAGATCCTTGTGTTTGTGATTTGAACTAGTTATGGCTAAGCGTAATGCGATCTACAAATCCATCTATATTAAGTTATGTTTCTCTACCATTTGCGTAACCAGTATTCATTTACCATTGATTTATCTTTGAATTTTTTATGCATCATATTAAATCAGTAGACAGGAATTAATTCTAAGAATATTGATCTCAAGCATTAATTTTCATTCCTTGTGTTGCATGATTTTCTCTATTTTTAAACATTTTATAAAATTCTCAATCTTATAAAAAAATATCAGAAAATAATAGTAAATAAATATTTTAGAAGTGCAATAAAAATTGTAATAGTAACATACAGAAAATATTTTTAATATTTTCATTAATTATAAAATTTACAATTCATGCATATTTTCTTAAAATAATTTTTATTAATAATTATCTTTAGAATGGTTTTTATTCAATTGACATCAGTACTTCATCTTAAAGACAGCAACAATAAATCATTTTTAATATTTTTTAACTCACTATTTCTAGAGCTAACGCATTTGAACTAATGACTATTATATAAGTTATTAATTTTATAAATTTAAATAAGTAATTTGAGAAATCAGGAAAAAAGTAGATAGACTTGTTATAATGTGCATTGTAAACACTTTATTAAGAAATTTCCCCGCATCGATAAAAGAAAACGAAGAATGTATTTCTTTAAATATGGCGTAAAGGTAGTTGCGTCAGTACAACAAGAAAGTCGTCGATAAAGTCGATATTAAACCCGTAATATTTTATAAGTTCGATGCTAGTGTGAAAGTAACATAGGTAGTTGAAACGGTAAATAAACTCTTCAGTAGTTTGATACATATTTTAACAAGTAAATGTTCGTTCATGGAAACTTTGAGGTAGTTCAGATTAGTTAGGGTTGATTGCTCCTTTAATTAATGAACGGCTTGAAAATTGTCTCTAAGCGAATTTCACTTGAATTTGGAAGAAATTTTAAAGATTAACCCTTTGTTTTTAAATTTAATAAAGTATATTTAAATTATGGTACTTTATTTATAGAATTATTTATCAGAAGTACATTTAATTTTAAGTTACTTTAGTTTTGAATTAAGCACTACTTAAATCAAAAACTCTTTGGTTACATTTCTCATCATTTCTTAAGTCTTCTATGATATATTCATGCAGTTCTGCAAAGAATATTCGTTTAATTAAATTCGTATCTTACAACGCGGTTTCTTTTATTGCAGGGGAAGATGCCAGTCTCCATTCAGGTGGATATATTTCGCCATCATCGGATAACGTGGTGAACGAGCTGCAAGGACTTTCCTTAGAGGAACAAGATCGTCAAAAGGCGGAATGGAGTGCAGAACTAGCCAAAGTATATATATAAGTCTTCATACTTTATGTTGGTACAAACACTAAACTATCTGGATCAATACTTATCTTGCTGTGCAGAAAACTTTTACAATTTATATTATTTTAATTAGTGAAAATGTGTTATATATTAAAATTTACTTTATTTATTCTGTGAGTATACTAGTAAACACTGGTATTACTAGTATTCACAGAAATAGAATCTACTGGTATAATAATATTCGCTGAAGATAGAGTATATTGGTATAATAGCATTCGCAGAAGATAGTAGAGTGTATTGGTATAACAGTACTCGCAGAAGATAGTAGAATATATTGGTATACTAGCTTCCACAGAATATACTACTATACTAATATCCACAAATTATAATAGAATATACTGTACTAGAATACTAATAGACTAATATCCACAGAATGTATCAGAGTATATGTATGAATATCAGTGTCCATATACAGTACAGCGCAGTATATCTAGCATAAAGTATACTAGAATATATTAGAATACCTCAACATTCACAGAACATACTAGAGTGCTCTAGAGTACACCCGTAACCTAGTAAATTCTGTGAATATGAATATACTCTACTCTTATGAACACACTCCATAAATTGGTATTTGAATGAAATTAACAGCTCTGCAAATTTCAGGTGGAAGAAGAGATACAAACTCTGAGGCACGTATTGGCGAACAAGATAAGAGTTTCTCAGGAGCTGAAGAGAAAACTGGGCATCAGCGTTTGGAAGGAGATCACCGACGACATGAATCAGGGGTTGAAAAACGTTAAGGAGAGCCAAGTGTACGTTTTTATTCAACCATCAGAAGCACGCACTTCTCTTGTTATCTTTCACCCTCATCTTGCACGAACGGACTCCTTGCTGGGTTTCACCAGTGTTCTTACACAAATCAAGGTGTTCAACAGCATGATCTCGACAATTTATCTTCACTATTATGATAATGTACCATGAACGTTTACTTCGTTGTACTGTATATTTCATGTACCTTTATTATTCATTCTCTGTTTATGTTATTCTTCATTTATATTATTATATAATGTTTTATTGATATACCATAAGGTATATTATTTCGTTAAACTTTAAGCTTCAAAGTGATATATCATAAGTGAATTGTTACTTTCATGTCATCGAATTATGTCTGACTCCACTTTCAGAATCGATTATTTAATATGGAATAAGATATTAATGTTTAATTATACTTCATTTGAAACATGCTGTTGATACCTGAGCCTTCAAGGTACAGTCACGAATGCCAGACGCAAACTATTATGCGATCGAAGCTATAGTCATTGGCGTAATTATCGTAACTAGAGTTCAGGCTAGATCCATATCAAAATGTAGACTGTTCCCTTGCCCCAAATTATCACAAAAAATTTCATCAATCTCGTTACTGATTATATCTATATCTAAAATCTGGGTCCTGTTTCATTTTAACATTTGATCCAAAATGCAATATGTAGTGTAACAAAATACAAAATCAACATTATACGAACTTGTGACCCATGTTAGTTTGACAATTTTGGAACCGCTACCTGATCTAATTTGCATAAAAATCTGCTTTATTGGAAATATTAATATTTAATAAACATGTACTTTACACCAATGGCTAGAGCTACGAAGGAGCTTATTGCAGCTAGCGATATATCGAGATTGTTATAATATTTCAGTAGGAATTTATCACGGATTCAATTCATGTTTATAGATAAGTGTTCTCGACTTTTTCCTCATTCACGATGTAAGTAGAATGTACATGTAACTTTTTAAGACTTTTTTTATTTATCGTTTATTTAAATGTTTCAACGATAGTCGAGCACTCTTATATTTCGAAGAAAAACACAGCGGTGTTGCAATTATTATCACAATTGTAAGAAATGAAAATAGCATGCCCACCACTCACCTTGTACACGAATCATTATTATTACTATTATAATTGCGCATAAGGTGACGGTAACCGATCCTCCCACACCCTTTTCGTTTATTTTCTGCTACTTTTGCCCTTCAGACATGTAGAACACTTTTCTTTGACTTTTGGTTGGGTTCTCATTCAGTTATCAGAACGTCGGCGAGAAACTCGGTCAGTTCACCAAGGCAGTCACCGAGAACATTTTGTAAGTACGCAAACAATTGTGATTTCCTTTGGATCCAACATTTCTTCTGTAATTAATCAACACTTCGATCACATCAAACACTTGCCGCCCATAACACTCAACAAAACTCAGAATATTAAAACAGAAAATTGTAGTATCTAGACTTTTGGTTCTTAACTTATTATTGACTTTAGTTCAACACAACATTTATTTCTGAGATATACTCAATTTTATGTTTTGAAAAGAAATGTTGGATCACGATGTTTATGCATTCCACTGCCAGATCCCTCTAGCACCGTTTTAAAATGCTTAATCGCTGCAGAGAAATAAAAAATAGTAGCTAAGCCGATTAATGATCCCGATAGAAAACTGATATACCGATCTCGAGTCGCGACAACGCATTCTCCGTCAGCCGCTATAACTAACAAGTGAAATATAAGCTTTATATAACGCCGATCGTGCAACACGCGAAATGCTATGACTAATCTACGAGAGAATCGAATGTGTGAGTAACATGTGCATGAAGCATCATTTGTAATATTCATTATCGAACTCTGAGCGTGACATCGGTAACCACGAATACTTCTTGCCTGGATAAGTTCTACGTTAAACAAATATTCATAGTGTGTTGTCGTAAAGATTCCAGAAGACAGAGTCCGTCTTCAAGACCACGGCTGAGAAGACCACCAGCATTCTTGGAGGCTTCGGAAGTGGCTTATCCTCGAAGCTGGGTCAAATGCGTAACTCCGACAGCTTCCGTTCTTTGGAGGAACGAGTCGGGTCTGCTTATGAAAATATGAAGGTAGCTGCCATTGTTTGCGTGTTACGACACGTATTTTTATTAGCGGATAAGTACATTCTTGCGTTTATGGAATTTCAAGGAGAGATTGTTTGTAAATTTTTAGAGGCACAGTTTTTCAGGTTTTTTAAATCCACATTTTCAAATACCTACGTTTTTACGTCTTCATAAAAATAGTATAACAGAGAAATATAATGATAATGTTTTTGCTATATTTTAGACAAAGGTGGTGCCTTCAAGATCCAGTTCCATGCAGAGCTTTGACGATGCTCTTCGAGAATCAGAAGCGGCGAGACGCGCGTCCGCCGCGCCTTCAGCTACCAGCCCGACTATTCCCGAAGACAAGCTTCTATCTTAGAGCTGGCCCTTGACCTTACATCGATTTCTGCCTCTTCTCTGCGTAACATGCTGAAGTCGTCGATCCACGATGCCATCGATGTTCGCCCTACGCTACTTACTATCACTTTCTAACGCATTGCTATTAATCAGGGCTAATTGTAAGAGCGACACTATCGTTCACTCAGCTGCAACTTAGGCTTCCTTCGATTAAGGGATATGCTAATTTTAGGAGAAATCGAGGACCAAGAAAAACGTAGGTCCTAAGAAAAACCTAACCTATAATCTATTTGTCCCTGACACTGTCAACTGAGGGAAGCCTAAGCTGGACGCGACTGCACTATATATTATTAAAGAAATATGGAATACCCTTCAAAGAACAAGAAGTGACAAAATACACGCTTCGAGCGTTTGTACGACTCGGAGTGTCTTTTAAATGTCTTCTTCAATGTACGCGAAAATTGAGACGGAAATACGCTTCTTCGTGTTAAATATTACGATGAGACTTTCGGTTCGGAAGAAGAGAATTATATATACTTTCTGTTTTCTTTTTCTGTTTTACTCGTTTGAGGGTACAGTTCTTTTAAAGTTGACGCAAGAGAATTTTGTTTACCCCAGTTTTCGATGTATCGTGTGTACGCGAGTTTTCTTTCGCAGGATTGTAATGTTCTTTTTTTATTGGGAAGCTTTTCAGCGTCGCAAGATGTGGAGATGTAATATTGCATTTACGTTCAGGGTCATGTTACTCAAGAAGACGGCAATTGATTTCCTTATTTTATCGAACTTATTTGCACTATAGCGATTTTTATAACGTATAATAATATATCGTTGATACGTACTTTTTAACGTTTTTTGCGTTGCAACCTGTTTTCGCACCTCGAATTCCTGAAGATGAGCACCACACGCTTTCAAATAGATATTCACCTGGTGGCGTTTCCTCTTGGACATTGAATATCTTCGTGTATTACTACGAGACACTTAATGTTCTTCGATAAAACTCGTGCTTCGACAATACTGTCCATTTCGTGTGATAAAAAGACCATCGATCTTTGTTGTAACTTTCTTACCGAGTAATTGAAATTAGTGCAATCATGTTTCTAACATTAACTCATTGCTTTGTGCGGGCAAAATGGCCGCCTATTTGTTCTAAATTATCCAAACATACTTGAAGATTAATTGAATTTGATTATGAAAAATAACATCGACCTTGATCAAAATATGGCAATCGTAATTATGTTAGCACGATACTGAGTCGATGCAAATATTTCGTTGACAAAAATGTTTCCTAGAGTTTACGAAGGGGTCATAATCAGTTGAGAAATTGTAAACGGAAGCTTAAGATGTATGGAAAGTTACTATAACTATAAATTGACCAGAAAAGAAATATTTTTTACTGAGCTCTATTAGCGCGGATGCGCGGTGACCCGAGCGCATTTATTTATTTAACAAAATCTACAACTTAAACGTAATCTTATACGTGGTAGAACATTTAATCTATGTGTCATTTGAACTCGTTACAGTTTCTATGAATCTATCGTTAATCTGCGCTCATTCCGTCATCGACAACCTGCTACACATCTACTTGTTCATTTTGGTGAATAAATTATTTAAAAAAATGTCACGGGTGAATTAGCGATTTCTGGCCCCACAAAATACGACGAATATACACAGTTTGTTATTATAACGTTTTGCGTGTGCTTTTTAATTATATCGAACTTATTCGTACTTAATGGGAAATTAATATAATATATATTTTTTATGAAAACCCGAGTAATCTTTTATTTTCTGTAGTTTTCATATTGTGTCCAAATTTGTATCTTAAATTATTTGAAGACATGAAAGTATGAAATATACACGCTTGTGACATATTTGATGTTTTGTTTTTTTTAAGGATATTAAAAATTAAAACCAACGAGTTGCGACGCTCATTTTGGGACGGAGAAAGTCCATAAGGAAACCTGTTAGGGAAATAAACTTATACAATAAACGCAGTGAATTTTAAGAACGCAAGAAAAGTGAGGAGATACAGGATGGAGAGAAGAGAGGAGAAATACATCGACACAGCTGGTATTAAAAAAAAAGGAATTGGTCAACTACTTTATTGCCATTCTTCACGTGGTACAAAACATAGTTCGGTCGCGTACGAGCACGCTTTAAGTACAAAACAAAAACGATCCTCTACAAGTAGTCTTCTCCGGCTGCATGGCGAGAGCAAACAAAGTAAAAAAGGGGTAAGAAGAAGAGTAGTAGAGAGTGAAACGAGACGGAATAAGAGAGAAGAGAAAGGGGAGAAAAAAAATAAAGAGCTGTGTTAACATTTATATGTATACATATCTCTATATGCATGTATCCGTATACATATATATGTATATATATGTATATATATAAATTCGTGTATTTGTATATGTATAGAAACATGTGTATACATATACATATATATATATTTATATTACGACATCGTTAACAACATTAAAATGTAATTATTCACACAACACAATAATCGGTGATCTATTATTAATAATTATAACGATCTGGTTTTTTGTACTGAATAGGCCAACATGTGCGTTTCCTATATACATAGTCGAGACTCTTTTAAACTTTCATTTTTACTTCCATGTTTAATCTTCATTTTAACCGACGTTTAAAAGAAAGAAAAAAGAATCTATCTCTTAGTTGTTCCAGCGTAAGCAGGCACCGTGCAACGCCTGTTGAGTATTATTTTACTTATCCGTTTCGTTTATTTATTTACTTATTTATTCTCGTTGAAAATATCTTGTTACCATGGTAACCTTGTGATTGGATTCGCGTCATAACGAGGCCTAACAACACCGACGCTCTCGCAATCCTTTAATATTAAAAGTGGTATCAGCTAGGAAATAGCGTGAGAAAATAATAACGTAATATATATATATATATATATATATATATATATATATATATATATATATATATATATATATATATATATATATATATATATATATATATATATATATATATATATATATATATATATATATATATATATATATATATATATATATATATATATATATATATATATATATATATATATATATATATATATATATATATATATATATATATATATATATATATATATATATATATATATATATATATATATATATATATATATATATATATATATATATATATATATATATATATATATATATATATATATATATATATATATATATATATATATATATATATATATATATATATATATATATATATATATATATATATTTATATATTTGTATATTTATGTGTATAAATCTATAAACAAGGGTTGTAACGTTAAATTAAGAACGCAGTAGAGTAATTGGAAGGGGTTGTTGCTTTATGATACAACGGTACACCTTGAGTATTTATTCAACGTGAACAAAATGGAGACGACTTTCCAAACGCTTCATTCATTTAGGAAAATTCTTACTCGATTATATAGTAACAATTTTTGGTGAGAATCGATTTTCTATCAGGTTCATTTTGCCACTGTTAGGCATTAATAATTCACTTGTTAGGCATTCTAGAATTTGCATTCTAATACCGGGACGAGGGTCAAACAGATCAGATACTCCTGTTATAAATTTTACGAAAAATATTTTTGTGGTTAATTGACATTTTCCACTTTTCGTGTTAGAGGCTAAAATTTTGTATCGATGAGTATAGCTTCTGTTAAGAAATTTTTTATACCAGTTCTTACGTGTCAATCGTAACCGAAATAGTTATGTTATACGCATCGAACAGTTAACTACCAGAACAATTAAATAATCAGAACCAAAAAAATTAAATAATCAGAAATTACTGGTTCTTAAAAATGATGAGATTCGGTGACAGTTTGCATTCGACTTTTGTCGTCTCAAAAAGGTTTGCGGAACAACCGTTATTTCGGGTCCGCATAATGGCGGCTCGTTTGGGTAAAAGACAGTTTAGAGATGCGTATCAACGATTTTTCTGGCAGGAATAAAATGCAACCGTGATAGTTGGGTCGCGACATTATCCTCGTTTATCCGATTCAAGCGTGGCGACCTTTGCACGTGAACGTTGCACCTTTCCGTGCAATCTTCCATCTGCGGGGACCATTGTTGTATCTCCGTAGCTCGTGTTTACGGAGGGACGGGGGTGTGCCACACCTCCGTTCTACCTTCAGAAGGTTAACGCGCTACAACGACATGCCAAGGCGATGAAAAATCAACGGCTAAACGTGTCGTTGAATAAATCCCGTCGAAGTTTCCCTCGAATGCTTCGACTTGTTCGAATTTTAGCACACGGTCGATGATCTTCCGCGGATAACCGCCGCTGCGGAAGATCGTTCTACACCCACTCGCTTTTGATATGCACATCCTGTTCGAATGTGCTCGATACCGGCTTTCTGGACATACGAGAACTTCATTCACCTAGGAGACATTTCGAACTATAAGGCTATCGAAATGTTATACCGTAGATACGGATATCTGAACATTTAGAAAATTGTCGGTTCGAAGATCTGAGAATTTGTGAATTCGAGGAATTTAACGATTTTGAGAACTTTGGGGATGATTGAAGAATTTGAGAATTTTAAAATTTCAGACAGCTTGAAAATTTAGGCTTGAGAATTTGAGGATCTGAGAATTTCTGAAGTAACAAGTTGAATTTGACAAATTGAGAACAGGAAAGCTTGAGAATTTTACAAACTTGAGAACTCGAGAACTTGAAAGCATGAGAGCTTCAGAATTATAGAACTTGAGACCTCGATTTGAAAATCTGAAAAACTAAAAATGAAGAACTTCTAAAATTCATAAATTTTTTAATCTGTCCAACTAACGTTCTGCCTATCCACAAATTTTTTCAGAAAATGTTTCAAAGAGCGTTTCACTTGTCAAGATCGCCAATCTGTAAGAAATGTAGCACTTAGAGACGCAACCTTTCGACCCGAAATTCAATTATAAAAATAGTGTTGCCGTTCGAATCGTTTGGGCGCAACGAATCGTGAAATGGAACTCGAAATCCGATCGTACAAATCGATTCCCGTTACAATTAAAGAGCGGAGTCAATTAAAGAGACGTTATTAACGGTTAGCGAATCGCGGCCATTGGAAAGATCGTCCTGTTCGTTGTCGAGGAGAAGTAACGACGTCGATCTATGTATACGCGAAATCCACGAGATCGATTACCGTTGCCGGCGTGTATGGTCGATTAGAAGCCGGGCGGGTCGCAATAGCGAGTTTAAATTGGTGAAAGTTGGTATGTTGGTGACTTTAAACACCGGTTGCAGCCCTTATTAGGCGGTTCTCGTCATATTGACCCGGAGAAGCGTATCCGATCGATGGAGTACACTCACGTGCAACTTTACTACTCACGTCTTTACTATTTTATATAAGGACGTATATGACAACTTATTTATTTAGTTTCGTAGTTTTAAAGGTTTAAATTTTGGAATTTTTCAGGGAGACAAGTTTTAAGTTTTTGAAATTTTTAAACTTCTTTTGAGGACATTTTGCAAACTTTTACTTTATACATTTTTTTTATATTTTCAATTTTTATGTTTTTGTAATTTCAATTTGCAAAATTTGTAACCCCTTCAAATATCTTGTTTTTAAAGTCAAATACTTGAATTTTAAAATTTTTACATTTTGGGATTTCGAAATTTTTGAGTTCCCTGATTTTTGAATTTGCAGAACCTAGATTTCAAAATCTCTATATTTCCAATTGTCCCTAAATTACCAAATTTCCACATTTAAAAATTCCTAAAGTTCCATATTCCTATATTGCCACTTCCCTAAATTGACAAATCCCTAAATTTCCAAATCACCCTCTTTCAAAAACCCTAAATTGCCAAATCCTTAAATTCCCAAATTTCCATTTTAAAAAATCCCTAAATTTCCATATTCCTATATTGCCACTTCCATAAATTGCAAAATCTCTAAATTTCCAAATCACCCTTTTTCAAAATCTCTAAATTTCCAAATCCTTAATATCCCAAATTCCCACATTTAAAAATTCCTAAATTTCCACTTCCCTAAATTGCCAAATCCCTAAATTTCCAAATCACCCTTTTTCAAAATCTCTAAATTTCCAAATCCTTAATATCCCAAATCACTCTCTATCAAAATCCCTAAATTTCCAAATTCTCCCATTTCAAAATCCCTATACTGCCTATACTAATTCACCTAAACTCCCAAATCCCTAAATTTTTACCTTAAAAAATTTCCAAATCTTTAAATTTACAAATATCTCAAATCTCCAAAATGTTCCTAAATCTCAAATCTCCAAAAATATTCCTAAAAATAAATGAGTGATATACTTTTTTTTCCTATGTATTTCATATTTTTCCCAAGGAAGCCAGATTTGCTATCGACTGTACCCCTACGGTTTCAGGTAACGCGATTTAGGGACGGAGAAGCTTAATCATGGATATACGGCGATTAAACGATTTGCGAGCGGTACCTGCCGTAAATAAAGGTTGATACGCTTTTTATTGGCGTCTCGTCTCGGTCATTAATTAGATCAGCGGTTCTTGTGCTTCTTAACTGGGTCAGAGCAACGTCATTTCATTCTGATCGTTCATCTATTGAAGAAATTGATTTTCGTCGCATTCTTTTTGAGGAATGTCTATTGTGTCAGGAAAGGTACTAGAAATTTTATCATCCCATACAATTGCATTTAATCTACTTTTCTAGTCTTTCTAATTTATAATTTGAGTTATCAAGTTTCTTAATTTGCAACGTTGCAAATTTCTTGATGTTCGAGTGCAAAA